CTTGGTGGGAACCGACTACTCTTTCTTATGTCCTTTGACACAGCATCAAAACATCTTCAAATATTGATGTTTACTAAATCAAACAAATGCTACCTGCAGCCTTAATCTCTCCAAATTATTCAGAATAAAGGGTGTTTCAGGATTCAGTCCTAAACAAGGCATTTTACTACACTCTTAAGGCTCAGGGGATATCACAGAGAGGAGGCTGAAATAATATAAGAACTGAATAAAGAGAGAAGGGCTATGCTTATATGTTATCATATAAGCATGACATGGTAAGGTAAATCACATCATTTGTGTCTACTAACACTGTATCTCCACAAGTTGGGCTCACAGAACAGTCAGCTTTGGATAGCAAAGGGGCTTACATGGCCGGGCTACTTGCCACTGACCTATTGGCAGACATCAGATTCTAGAAAAAGGAAGATTATTGTATCTAGTTGTTGAGCTCCTTGGAGCTTTCTAGGCTGAGATGGAAAGTTTCCAACATGTGGTCACACAGATTATCCTAGTTTAACTCTGAAACATAAAACAAAATAAGAAGTTATGAGTATAAAAAAGAAGTCTGTGAGGACAAATTGAGGCTGGCAAGAATGGGAGGGAAGACATAGAGGATTGGAAAGGACCATAACCAAAATGCTTATCTATATATATGACCTTCTCTGCTATGAAATAATCCTTTTATACACTGTAAAGATTTGTCACTCAAATTGGTTTAATAAAAATCTGACTGGCTGTTAACCAGGCAGGAAGCATTGGCGGGACAATCAAAATAAGGATGCTGGGATCAAGAAGGGCAGCGTCAGGGGAAATGCCAGCAGACCTCAAGGAAGCTAGATGTGTACAAAATGAGGTAATAAGCCATGAGGCACATGGTAGAACTTCGGTAAGAAATATGGGTTAATTTAAGTTGTAAGAGCTAATTAGTAATAAGTCTGAGCTATTTGATGAGCATTTATAATTAATATAAGCCTCAGTGTGTTTATTTGCTGGTGGAACAGAAACTTCTGCCATCATTTCTCAAATAACCCAATTTATTGATAAAAATATTTGTGATATTGACTCAAATTTTCCAATACAAAAGACCCCCTCTTGTTCCCTTCCTCACTCCCTCCTTCCCTCCATTGTTCCTTCTTTTTTCTCTTTTGTGAATTCTCTCTCTCTCTCTTTCTTTCTCTTTCTTTCTTTCTTTCTTTCTTTCTTTCTTTCTTTCTTTCTTTCTTTCTTTCTTTCTTTCTTTCTTTCTTTCTTTCTTTCTTCCTTCCTTCCTTCCTTCCTTCCTTCCTTCCTTCCTTCCTTCCTTCCTTCCTTCCTGCCTTCTTTCCTTTCTTCCTTCCTTCCTTCTATTATTTATTGTTGGGTATATTTCATAACTATTCACTCTAACCTGTACATGGAAATGGGCTGTTGCAATACATAATATATAAAACGTCTTTGTGTATGTATAGCCATTTCATACTCAGAAGTATGGCTATCTCTAAATTTGTCTTAGCTAGAGGTGACATTACATTCATGAATCTCAATCATGATTTCCTTATTGTATCTTGGATGGAGCATCCCAGTCACTAAGAGTGGCCATCAATCATTACTGAGAGTTCCATTTCTTTTGCCCCTTTTCTATGACAGAAGCATAGATAGGCCAGAGTTATATCCTTGAAGCATTCAGCATGCTCAGACTTTTATCTTGCTTTCAAGACATATTGTGGCTTAAAACATGGGGTAGAGTATGGGGGACTACTGAATATTCTATTGTCATTAGAGGAATTTTGTCCAAGAATAGAGGGCCCAGGATAAGGAGACTCATTTTTGTCTTGGTGATAATGCAACACCATGGTGGGGCTTTCAGGAAATGGTCTGTTCTCTGCTACTGTGATTCTGCATTGACAAGGGTGTCTTCTATGTCTAATTGGCAAACTTTAATGGGCTAACTTCCACCTCATGTTGTGTCATTATATAAATTTGCCATCACCTTGTCTTCATGTCTAGATTCACTATCTCTGTGTTTCTTTTTCCCTACACTATAGTCCTGAGCATGCACAGTGTCATTACTTCTGAGCATTGCCTGTCTGTCTTTTATCTCATCTTGGATTAGTTTTTCTACATAAAACACTGGTCAGGTAGCACTTACTCTGCTCTGCATTATAGCTCTACTTCTTAGCATCCTATAAGAGCCTGATATGGCCGGCTACTTAAAACACTTGGCTATGAATTGCATCTGTCTAATTATTTCATCACAACCATATGGCTGATTATTTTATTAGTTCTCTGGGTTTTGGCAGCCTCTGCTCTTCAGGACCATTGAGGTTCCAGGCAGATTTGCAAGAGAGGATTTATGTGACCCTCATGCTCAGGATGCTGCTCTTCCTCATCTGCAAAGGGCTCTCATGAATCTGTTGTGCCCTACTTTTCTAGGTTGAGTCTGATTTGAGCAAATTCTTTGGCTGTTCTTCATGTCCATTCTATTTCCTCTCAACAGATGTACCAATAATATCAATTATTTCTGTGTTGACTCTTTTTTTGCTTTGCGCCTTTCCTGGAACTCGCTTTGGAGACCAGGCTAGCCTCGAACTCACAGAGATCCGCCTGCCTCTGCCTCCCGAGTGCTGGGATTAAAGGCGTGCGCCACCACCGCCCGGCTTCTGTGTTGACTCTTAACTCTATGTTATCAACTCATCAGTGACAGACCTTCTAGTTGATTTTCCAGAAGCCTTTGTAGGACGCTTGTATAGAGGGTGAATGTAAAGCTGGTCTTCTTAAGGAACCCTGAAGAGCTAGGGAGGCAGTGGAGCAGTTATAAAGTCTCTGCTTTGGGTAAACAGATATGCTTTGAGAGACAATGCCCTTATAAATGTGGAGGATTTTCTTACTTTCTTTCCTCCTTGCTCCCTGATCTCATAATAGATGAGATAAAACATATCCTCTTGAGCTTTAAAGAAGACAGGTCTTGTTGATCAAATGTGCTTCAGTGTCCCTAGAATTATTTTATTATGGCTTCAACTCAACCCTCTATGAGCATCACCAACTCCCGGGTCTTCCACTGTCCCCGCTGTTGACCAATTTCCTCTTCTACAGAATCCTGAAAGCAGCAGAAAATGCCCAGTTTCCTTAGGGCACAGCACTAAATGGACACAGAACAGCTGTCCCATTTCTAATGAGCTTCTTTTAATTTATTCCAATTTCTATCTCATTAAAAGGGTAGTCTTCTTGGCTGTAGGCACGCCTCACAGCATACCTCCAGCTAATCAATGTTACTTGAATAAGTGAAGTAAGTGATATAAAAAACACTGATGCATTTTCATAACTGAAATTTGATATATGCAGAAACCTGTCAATTAATTCTGAACCAAAAATCTAAACATCCATCTCCTATAATTCTTGTCAAGTTACTTCAGGAATATTTCACTTTCACATTTGGAGGCAGATTTTCCTTAAGTGCCATTATTTCCAAGTACCAATAAAATTTTACATAAGCCTTACCAATGCACAGTTTTATATCATATATAACACACACTCACATTTTGTTTCATATCCCTTTAACAAAGATCAGGAAAAAGTAATATCATAATGAAAGGCATAATGAACACATAGTTCTGACAGGGTAAAGATCAAGCAGTGACTATATTTAGGAAACAAATCTACTAAAATGTTACATGGGGGGAGAAATAATTTAAAGTATTTTAGATAGTATGCAGTACTTAATTTCAGTTGACCCTTAGTATGCACTGAAATGTTGAGTGAGAATTTAACCCATTTGCTCTATGAAATGTCAAAGCTGAAGCAGGAGATAATGAAATCTTCCTGTAATTCATATCCTACTACACCCTCATTATCAAGGAAGACAACCAACCAAACAATCAACCTAATCACAAACACGAAAACTCAGTGAATAATCCTCTTGCCTGAAAAATCATTCATATTAAAAAGATGGAGAAGGTGAAGTGGATTTCCCCTTTTATAAAACATTCTTAGATAGTTCTGGAGATGCTCAGTGGGTAAAGCACTTCCCCTGAAATTGTGATGACCTGAGCTCAAAGCACTATTACCCACATTGATGCTGCTTGGTGGCCTGCCTTCATGCCCAGCCCTTGGGAGTCCCTGGGAAAAGATGGATACCTAGACTAGCTTAA